ATTTTACCAGGGCAGCTACTAGTGTTTAGATACAGAAGCCCTAATGCTGAATGGCTTGAATCTGCCCTGCAGAGTTTAATATCCCCCTCAATGTGGAGTTTTAATATCCCCCTCGTCTTTGGAGTTTTATCTTCCCAGATCCTAACTCTGTGGCCGGGGCTGGCACCCTGGCAGAATGGTTTGAGGCACAGGCTGAAAATAGCTGACTTCCCTAGGCTTACAGATGAGTTCGGGGTAGCAGATGAGTTTGGAGGACTCTTCAGAATTCTCTCAACAGCATTACTACTTCTCTTGGAAGGAAGAGATATTGGACAGTGACTGGTTTTAGGTTTTATAGCTTTTCTGACTTCTATTGCTACCAAAAAGTACTGTTAACATCTCCCAGAGTAACACTCCAAGCCACGTTCTCAGTGGGGGGGTATCTTGGAGATCTGTCTTTACTGCTGGGCATCAGCAGTCTGGTTCCAAGGCAGCACGGTGCTATGAGCAGAATGGTGAGCAGCAGCCCTGAGTGACCACTCAGCATGTCAGGCTACAGCTACGTAATCTTTAGAATATTTCCTGGTTATAAAATTCCAGTCTGTAAGTAACATAGAAAACCAGTAATTGTTTTTACAAATAGCAATAAAGTTCTATGTTCAATAATTTACATGATGTGGCACAAGTGAAGGACAGCCTCAAGCAATTTTATGAATGAGCACTGAACACTTAAAAAGTCTAGACACTGGAGTGCCCCTTTAGAGAGGCTCACAAAATAGAAAGGCCACTTGCCACAATGTGTTCAGAAAATAACACACACTCCAGCAGGAAGGTCCACTCAAGTACAGCCCTGGACTCAGCTCCTGAACCTGGCAAACTGTCCAGCAGACAGTTTACACTGTATCCGTCACATGAGTGAATCAGTTAACAGACTGCTGAGTTCTGTGTAAGAACAATTTTTGTAAATGGCTTTCTTAGAATAAAGAGGAATAATTTTTGTGGAGCTGAAAGAGTTAGCTCCTTTATGGGTTAAATAAATTGTCAAAAGTTAGACTCTGATGCTGCCTCTACTGGCCTGTGAATAAGGAAAACGCCTGGTCTTTCCTGCATCAGTAACTTCCACACAAATTAAAATCACTAAGTGGTTCTAAATCTGGGCCTATGCAATGTCCTGCTGACTATGACAACCTCGTGAAACGTATACATGCTTCTGTGATTGTTTCCGTTCTCTAAGAGAGACACTGCCGCGTAAGGTTGACTCCACTCTGCTGAGAAATGATACGAAAGAGAAAGACGACAAGCCCGCCAGACCTGCACTGGCCAAGGTCACTCAGAAGGACACCACCACCCTACAAAAATGTCGCTCCAGCATCTTTCAAAACTCCATTTCATCTCATTTTCCCATAGTGTTCTTTACAGAAAATTGAAATTTTTAAATTTTATTTAACATAAAGTCACCAGCAAGCACAACAAATTTCTTAACCTTGTAGAGTATCCTCGCAAGTTATAGCCATCACATGGAAATCTACACACCCAGAAAATGCGGCCACGTCTAATGTGTCAGTAATTATCATACAAATGTAACGATGGGCCTCATGTCACCCTTACCACTGATTCCAGCAGCCTGTAGATGCGAGAACAGCAACCCCTCACCCATTTACTCCCCATGACTCAGCAGCACGACATATTGCTTCTTTCAACTTCCCATTGACAAAAAATTTTAAAAAGCAAGCAAACTTACATAGTGGTTAAAAGTCTAGTTTTTCTACTATAGCGTTTCAGATTTTTTAAAAAATTTATCCTCAGAATACAATCTTTCTACAAGATTTCTTTGCAAATGCTGATGCCTTTTCAGGTACTTTGAAGTGTGGCCCCCCCAAAATATACTGCCTGGAACTACAGAAAATGGCCTTACTTGCAATGAGGGTCTTAGCAGAGGTAATTAGGGTTAGGATCTTATGAGATCATCCTGGATTAGAGTGAGCCCTTACAAGAGACAGATAAGGAGAGAAGCAAGGACTTAAGGAGAGACTGAAATCCCAAACCAAGAAACATCTGGAGCCACCAAGAGCCAGAGAAGAGAGGAAGGATTCTCTCCAAAAGCGTCTGGAGAGGACGAGGTCCCACTCACACTTTGGTTTCTTTCTTACTTTTGGCCTCTAGAATTGCAGGAGAATGAATTTTTGTTCTTCGAAGCTGCCCTGTTTGTGGTAACTTACACAGCAGCCCTAGAAAACTAATACATGTCTTTAACTAGTTACTGTATCTTCAACAGAAAACGGTGTAACACTGTGAAATCACTTCCTGCAGGGACTGGTATTAGCAACAGTCAAAAATTCTAGCAAAAAGGATTCACTGAGTAATGTTACGTAAGTGTGTACTTCTGCGATTTCTTTTCAAATATTTTACTAATTCTTAGGAAGATGTTAAAAAAGGGCATCCTGTATGGGCCTTCTGCAGTGAGTAAGGCTGAGATAGCAGATCCATTAAGGAACAGTTGGCTTTGAAAACATTCTCAGCTAAACAGAATGAGTGAAGTGTAGACAAGGCATAACTAAATCCCAAACTCGGTCAAAGCATCTTTCAAGAACAATGCTGAAATAAAGACAAATAAATATGGAATTTACCACCAATCTTCCTTAAAAGAAGTCCCAGAAGGTGCAATTCAGGAAAAAGAAAGATTAACCCAGATTGCAAGTCTGAGATGTAGAAAGAATCAGAAAGCACGGATATTAGAACGAGGCAAGTAAATATAAGACTTCATGGAACCACTCAAGGGATTATGATAATTTTTATTTGCCATTTTTTGTGTTTTTTAAAAAGGCAGTATCAAACCAAAATAGTGGACAAAATTCAAAGCAATAGGAAGAAAGGTGAATGGAGTTCAGGTATTATCTGTTATTTCTATGAAGAATAATAATATTAAGTTTCATTAGAGAGTCATATTAAAATACCTGTGATAAGAATTGCTTGAGCTCAGGAGTTTGAGACTCACCTGAGTGAGAGTGAGACTCTGACTCATGAAAAAAATGGAAAAACCCAGGCAGACGCTGCTGTGGCGAGCGCCTGTAATCCCAGGGGCTTCCAGAGGCTGCTGCAACGGGGATGCCCACAAGCCAGAGTCTGAGGTTGCAGTGAGCTACCAAGCCACTGCACTCTGCTCAGGGGCATAGGGTGGGACTTTGCATCAACAACAAAATTAATTAACTAATTAATTAAAATTAAAAAATAGACAGGGGAATGTAACTTCCATACTAATAGTTGGAAAACTGAAATGTGGAAGCAGAAATGAACAATAAACCTTCCCTTAATTTAAAAGGAGAAACAGGGTGGAAAAAAAACCCAGAATAAATACATGTAGCGAGAACAAAATAAGATGCGAAAATAACTCCACTTGTCAGTGTCCCACTAGATGTTTACCTTTCTCATAAATATCGCTCAAATGTGCATTTTCAAAAATGGCCAGGAATGGTGGTAAATTTTCTCAGCATATGAAAAGATTTAGGGACTTACTAAGCTTCTCCAGAGGAGGTAGCTCACAATTGAGCTTGAAATTGAGATATGAAAGGCTTGAATTTACTAATGTCCTGGACAGATTAGTATTTTACATCCATTTTCGTTTTCCCTTTCTTTTCTTTTCTTCCAAATGTTCTATCATCCCTCTTTTCCCATAATAGCACTACTGTCTGTGCTGATCTACAGTACAGTAAATCTGGATGTTAGGATACCAGAAAGATTCTTGGAAAATTCTTAGATATCCCCTAAGTGTCCCTGGAAAAGGCTTCAGAGCGTAACTATGAGAATTATTGGGTGTGCCCATAGTTCCCTTTGCACTGGAGACACAGGAGCTGGAATTTACCTCTGCACTCATCTTACTGAGGGTAAGCCAGCTTTGAAGGAGCAGCCTTTGCTCAGGTGGAGGACTCCCCAGCTAGGTGGGGATAGGAAGTCATGCCGTCAGCTACTCACACAGTGTGGGTGAGAGGCAGAACAGAAGCCTCACTATGTGTGAGGGTTCACGTGAGGAACACAAGTGGCCTGATGTAAAATAAGAAACACGGCTATTTTTTTATCTGCAGTTCAGATTTTGGTCTTTTCTTTAAAATGAGAATGGAGAGGCTGAAGTTTTAGAGAATGATCTCAGTTCTCCATAGTGGGAAGTCATTAGGGATTTATGTCCAAGGATCTGAGAAAAGAAATGTCTCAAAAATATCAAATATACTTTTTTCAAAAAATAGAAAAAGAAGTAAAAGACTCTGGGTCCTAGTTTAACATTTTGAGCCATACAGGAGTTAGAAGGAGGCCTGGAGGCCATGCAAGTGAATGATGACCCCTGTAGGATGGCCCGCCCTCCCTCTCTAGGAGGCCTCCTGGGTGACAAGTTTCAGGAGCTAATTCTTTGTCACCATTATGCCTAGATACTGACATTAAACTGTAAATTTTTAGAATTAATATTCTTCCAATAAATAGAATGATAATCTGTTACAAAAATATTCTAAGATTTCCATGGAAATGGAAAAAGCTATTTTAACTTTTTTGAATAAAAATAAGGCACCAAAGACTCATTTTCTTTTCCCCAAACTGCCCTTTGGGGAAGAGCTGCTCATTAAATATCTAATTCACCCAGCTCACATAAAAATGCCTGGTAGTGCAAATACTTTAAAGTAACTTGAACAAAGGTATACAATCTTATGTTGCTTCTCTCACTATAAAGAGGCTGTTACATGAGTCATACATTTAAATTTTTTCTCCACTGTTATTGTCACTTTTTCTGGGGCATCTTGGTGCTCTTCCTGCCACTGTATCAGAGGCCAGGACAAATACTCATCCTTGGATGGTGGTGTTAAAGGAAGGGGTGGCTCAACTTGCCCTCTGTTCCCCTTCAGCTCACATGGGAAATGGAAGAATGTTAGCAAGTTGACAGCTGTAATGTGCGTGGTAGCCCAGTAACAAAGGGAAAAACAATTTAAAAAGAGTTAAAGAGTTAGCAGTGTAAATGAGACTAACTCTCTTTCACACAACTATTCTGAGAAGAGGGTTCTGTTGACAAATGGATGGATGGACAGGTGGATGGATGGATGGATGGATGGATGGACAGATGCATGGACGGATGGATGGATGGATGGATGCATGGACAGATGGATGGATGGATGGATGGATGCATGGACAGATGGATGGATGGATGGATGCATGGACAGATGGACGGATGGATGGATGGACGGATGAATGGATGGATGGATGCATGGATGCATGGATGGATGCATGGACAGATGCATGCATGGATGGATGGATGCATGGATGCATGGATGGATGCATGGACGGATGCATGGATGGATGGATGGATGCATGCATGCATGCGTGCGTGGATGGATGGACAGATGGATGGATGAATGGATGGATGGATGGATGCATGCATGCATGCATGGACAGATGGATGGATGAATGGATGCATGGATGGATGGATGGATGCAGGGATGGATGGATGGATGCATGCATGGATGGATGCAGGGATGGATGGACAGATGGATGGATGGATGGATGGAGGGATGCATGGACAGATGGATGGATGGATGGATGCATGGACAGATGGATGGATAGGTGGACGAATGCATGGATGGATGAATGGATGGATAGGTGGACAGATGCATGGACAGATGGATGGATGGATGGACAGATGGATGCATGGATGGATGGATGGATGGGGGGATGCATGGAGAGATGGATGGATGGATGGATGCATGGACAGATGGATGGATAGGTGGACGGATGCATGGATGGATGAATGGATGGATAGGTGGATGGATGCATGGACAGATGGACGGATGGATGGATGGATGGATGGACAGATGGATGCATGGATGCATGGGGGGATGCATGGACAGATGGACGGATGGTTGGATGCATGGACAGATGGATGGATAGGTGGACGGATGCATGGATGGATGAATGGATGGATAGGTGGACGGATGCATGGATGGATGAATGGATGGATAGGTGGACGGATGCATGGACAGATGGATGGATGGATGGATGGATGCATGGGTGGATGCATGGACAGATGGATGGATGGGTGGATAGATATGTCATATATCATATTTTGTTTTGCAGTGTTATCACCTGGAATGATAATTATTTAAATAGCCTACTTCATAGTATCTTATTGTCCTTTAGATATATGCTTGGAAGGAAAGAAATCTTAAAGTGAAGATCATCTTACAATGATGATATAATGATGATATTTGTACATTTTAAGACACACATTTTCTTAAGCCCAATCCACCTTAACAGCACAATGTTAAGATTAAGTTTGCTGTACATATAATTCTAAAACCAAGAGAGTTAAAACTCTCTTTTTGTGATAATTTTTGGACAGGTGAGGTGAGGTGAAGAAAGTGATTAATTTGTTCCTCATAAATTAATCCGTGACAAGTGTCTCTTACAGAATTTCCTTTAAACCCTACAGTCCGCAGACTATGAGATAAGCATAAAAGCTCTTTGGAAGAAAAAGGCAGCATTTGAGGGTAATGTCAATTGCTAAATGACCTAAATATTTCATATTAGAACAAAGAAATCTGGGGTGATTCACTACTTATTTTCATATTTTATGGGATAATTTTATAGAAAATGTAATAAATCATGTAAGGTAACATTTGACATTTCTAGATTGTTTTTCTGATATAACATCATGAAAACTTGACTAAGGCACACTCATTCTCATGGCAGAAATATAGATTTTAGAATTTACTATTTTAATAATAAAAATCATAATTATTAACTCAGCCATAGATCATTATTTCTGATTATTATTGGAAATATATAAACAAAACCCTGTGAAATTAATTTGGTCAACAAAAAGGAGCTCCTAACTGCAAATTTTTAAAATACATTGACAAAAAATTAGCAATAAGAAATATTCTGTGTCTGGAAGTATGCAATTAATAAGAGAATTATATTTGTATGCTTAATTTTTAGTTGATTCTTATACACAAATAAAAATGACTCAGCTATTTTGCAGTGTTAACTGAAGTTGAGTCACACTGTATATTAGTAACACTTTATATTAGCATAACCTATTCTTTGATGGGTTATTATCAAAAAGCTAGAGTGATTCAAAGTATTTATACAAATCAAAGTTAAACCAAGTCCAATCATTTCTCTCACATATAAAGTTGTGGGATTTATGTTTCAAGTTTGAATTTTCTCTTAGCTTAAATATATCAAATTTTCATTAATTCAAATGCAATATTTTTTCACATTTTAAGACCTGTGGTAATCGGATTCATCTTGTTTAATATCATTGATAATGAGATGCATCCTATCACTGATATGCAAACTACCTCTATTATAGTTTAATTGGCAATGCATTTTCTTTCTTAGTGTCATCTAACATAATGATGCAATTTTTTAACTGATAACCTTTCAGTTTTCATGAAATATGACAGCACCCTGGCTCTTCTCACCTCCATTTATAAATGCAGTTTAGTGGCAAACAAAAAGTACAGTGAATAGAGCATTTCAGGGGTAGAAATACTAGGTTCAATTCTTGCCCTTAGCATTAGATTGTAATTCTTTGTGAGTAAAACATCTAAATCAGGAGTCCTCAAGCTTTTTAAACAGGGGGCCAGTTCACTGTTCCTCAGACCATTGGAGGACCAGACTGTGGGCCCCGGGATGAGTCGGCTGCTAAGCAGGACAGGCAGCTGCGGGAGAAACACCCAGCAGGTGGGATAAATGTCCTAGGCAGGCCACATGCGGCCTGCGGGCTGTAGTTTGAGGACGCCTGATCTAAATCTTAGTTTCTTATAATATACATATTAGGATAAACATTAAATGAGATAAATGAAAGTATTCTAACTATAGTAGACATTCAAAACATAGTAGTTCCCTTTTCTCCACGGTACAGATTTTGAAAATATACTTTGTAGATAATTTTAATAAAAATAAAATAACATAATAAATAAGGCTAATGATAATATTATAGGGCCAGACAATTTCCCCCTACTTTGGTTTTCAAGAGGAAATATTTTCCCAAAGCCTTCCAGGCCTCTTCTTAGGGCTGCCTTCCCTTCAGCAAGGAGGCTGAGTGATTTTTCTGACTGGTGGGTGACAGTCAGTTTTGTTGTTCAAGTGGTAATAGCTCTCTAACAAACTCAGCCTCACCTTACTTTTGGGCTTTCTTGGAGATCATGGGAGAAGAGGCATCAGGTGTGAGACTAGGAGCCATGGTGCTGAACTGGCTTTACCAAAGTACTTGCTTTGGGCAACTCTGGTTTATCTCTGGTAGTCTTAGTGCAGTCCACCTCTGCAGCGTCCCTGAACTGAATCAGGTTCAGCAGAACTTTCCTCCTACTTGTGTTCATTTTGGATTCAATTCCCACACTCATGTAGCATCTCACCCTCAGGTGTGTCCTTCGTCTTTAGCAAATGTGCTCCTCCTCCAGCCTGCTGAGTCAGGTGCTGCTGTATGCTCACACTATTCCACTTCTCTCTGTTCCTCTTGCCCCATCCTGGGCCCCTTTCAGGGCTCCAACCCAATCTCAGGGCTTTTAGTACTTCTGAAACATGTTTGGGGGTCTGTGGTCTTGAATGAAGTCAAGGTCTGTTTTTATCTCATTCTCATTTTTGCTTCTGCATTATTTTTGGGAGGAAGGGCAATGTCTGCCCTATGCAGCCAAGTGTCTCCCAGACGCCACCTACTCCCACATATCAGGTTAAAGTGCTATGGTCACCATGGATCTGCTATGGCCATCCTTTGAGAGCTTCTGATATTAAAACCTGTTCTCAGTATTCAAAAGTTCTAGTCTAAGTCAGATGTATATGAAACAATACCACAGCAACCACATACTAGTTTATGAATGTTGACACTATATGAGAAAGAATTCCAAAAGGAAGAAGCCAGCTTGGACTAGGGAAGTCACAGAGTGCCATGTGGAAGGTGAGGACATTGAGAATGTCTTAAAAAAAATTTTAAAAGAAATATAGGCTGGCCACAGTGGCTCAATCCTGTAATGTTAGCACTCTGGGAAGCTGAGTCAAGTGGATCACTTGAGCTCAGAAGTTTGAGACTAGCCTAAGCAAAAGTGTGATGCTATGTCCACAAATAGCCAGGCATAGTGGCACAAGCCTATAGTCCCAGATACTCAGGAGGCTGAGGCAAGAGGATTGCTCAAGCCCAGGAGTTTGAGGTTGCTGTGAGCTATGACACCATAGTACTCTACCCAGAGGGACAGAGTGAGATTCTATTTTAAAAAACAAAGAGAGGGTGGCACCTGTGGCTCAAAGGAGTAGGGCACTGGCTCCATATGCCAGAGGTGGCTGGTTCAAACCTGGCCCCAGCCAAAAACTTAAAAAAAAAAAAAAAGAGAGAGGGAGAGAGATTGAGTTGGGGGTGCCTGTGGCTCAAAGGAATAGGGCACTGGCCCCATATGCCAGTTTTGCCAAAAACTGCAAAAAAAGAAAGAAAGAGAGAGAGAGAGAGGGAGAATAATGGGTTTCTAGGATAACACTACTTTTAAAATACAAATAAATTGAGTATCTCTGCTGCAATGATAGAAACAATAATTTATATAGTTCTTCAGAAGTTGCGATACACTTTCCCATATAAGAGTTGAGCAGCCCTATTAGATTCCCCACTGGAATTATGTACAAAAATTCCAGATATACTTGAGGCGGCAACATGTTAGTGAATAAGGTCCAAAACTTATTATTATTTAAGAGCAAAAGCACTGTTTCAAAAAAAGTTTTGATTCTATGCCCTATTCCACTGTGAAGATGATGTTTTAATGGGGTGGGAGAGGTTGCTTATGGCTGGATTCTGCTGCAGTTTCTTCTCGTTAGCTAGTATTTGCTTTCGTGATTAAACAGTTTCTTCCAACAACAAAGCCTATATAGGTGTTAGTCAGTCTTTCTGTCTCTTCTGCAGAAATCAGTTGTTCAGACTGAGATGCAGTTCTTTCCAATGCAGGGGAGTTGGGCTGTGCATGAAAACCAAGACCTTGTTAAGTTGGCGAGGAAGATCTCCTGCATTCCAGCAGGTCCCTGTTCCATCCCTTCATTCCTTAACTGAAGCTTGCTGGAGCGTGGCTTCCCTGCGGTGGGATTTTGTAAATTATGCTCCTGACTCCACTGTGTGCACGTAGCCAACTCTACCAATGGGCAGCGTTCCAGCTCTACACTCTGGCTATTTCTCAGCTACAGGACTTAGGTCTCCCTCAGCCTGGCCTCTCTCTCCACAGATGGGTCACTGCAGGGCAATGCCCTGGGCACCGCCAGAAGCACATGACGGTCACCCCTTGCTGGAAGCCCCTCTGTAAAGTGACCTTAGCCTACAACTTCTTTTACTCACAAGGAACATAAGCATCTCTAATCCAGAGTTTTCAAGGGTCATAAAGATTTGGATGTTTACACAGTAAGAGTAGAGAGAATTTATTTTTTGTGTCCTTCATTTCTATTTTCTACTATTTTTTGTAGACGCTGTCCGTTTCACGTTCTCAGTAAGCATTTCTGAGACCCTCCGCAGGGATCACTCCTATTTGATATTCATTGATTTAGATTCATGAGCCTCACAGAGTTGGTTCCCGGACAGCTTCAGTGCAGACCAGCTCTAGCCCACCCTCTATCCCAGCACTATTACTCAGACCACAGTCACTTACCAAAAAGTGTTTAAGCATGTAAATGTTACTGCATTTGTAAAAGCCCAACTGAGCTTTTTAAATTAAAATCTGTGACATGATTAAACTTTCAAGTGCCAGTGATCTTTAACCTAAGTTGAATAGATCACTATTATTTTTCTTACAGATAAAAAAACTGCAGGTATCACTGATAAATAAATCTATTCTTTGTTCATAAAAATTCACATAAACTCAATATTGACCCAAGGAAAATAGAGCCCAAGTCCATTATTTTTAAAAATTATGTTTAAAAATTATGATAATGAATTTGTCATAGAATCCAAACTTACGTACATTGTTTTAATTTATTACTGGGGAAAACCCCAGTACTGAGCCACATTTTTACTGGCTTATGTCAGACTATGCGCTT